AAAGACAGAACATTATATACTTCCAGATAGTCACACTAGCCATTTAAACCAACGCTGCCCACCCCACAAGATTGTTAGAGACAATGAGAGGAGATTCAAGGTGCTGTTGTTAAGGTGAGCCTCCTCCAATGCACTGGATATAATACATCAAAACCCTTGTCGCTCTGTGCTTTCTCCTACTTGGATTCTCATAAGCACATTTATTGTTATCAACAACTCTTTTGAAGCAAATGCCTCCTGTTTCCTTCATTTGGATGGTACCTATCATTTATTAGGGTTTCACTGGAAAGAGTAACAAAGAGATATCATTTGCTTGAATTGGTAATCTTCAACCCAAGTCTTTGTTTGGTTTTCTCAGTGCCTATTTCAAAGACTGCAGAGCCTTTGCAATAAATGTATCCTGTTTCCCTAAAAGTTTACTGTTGCTTGGTGTCTATTACTGCTGGGAGCTGTAATTACATGCAGATGAGAAAGGTTGTTTAATGCTTGATCTTCATTTTTATGGCCCAATGAGTTGTTTTTTAATTATTTAATGCTTTTATGAGTCTAAATATGTTATACAAGACACAGCGATAATATGGTTTTTTTAAGGAATCGACACTGATAATTACTCCTGGTGTTTAGAAATTCAGTTTATTTTGTTTTATTTATATTTATTTATTCATTCATTCAACAAGGTCTCATGTAGTTCAAGCTGGCCTGGTGGTCACTAATTAGCCAAGTGGACCTTGAACTTTGGATTCTTTTGTCTCTACCTACTGAGTACAGATGTGTGCAACCAAGCCCAGGGCTGAAGATTTAACTCAAGGCCTCTGAATGCTAAGCAAACACCCTGCAAACCAAACTACATCCACATCTCCTTTGCTTCATTTTTTGAAACATACTATATTGTACTGGACCTGATGCTAGCTAGCATATATGAAGCCTAACACACTGGAGCACCTAACACACTGGAACAGCTTGTGCCTCACTAGAGTTCCCTGAGAACGCCAAAACATCAATATTGGTGTGTGACAGGAACAAAGAGGAAGCTCAGAGAAATTAGTTTTGTTTAAGGCCATAGAGTGCCTACGCAACTTATAACCCACATTTTAACCACATTGGTGGGTTTTTGCTAACAAAGCCTAAAGCCAATAATGCAACATTTTTTCCCTATAAATTTTTCACATATTAAGAATGGATTTTCTTTTAACAAGTTCCCATCCGAGAAATAATGAGTATGTGTTGCTCACACTGATGTCTTACACAGCATGTTCTTTTCTATTGTATAAGACATTTACAGGAGGTCTACTTTTGTTAAGTGTCTTTGACAAAGGGCCAGACAGGAGATTAATGTCTAAAGTCTTACTCCACCAATTAATCAGCAGCCAAATATGACCCACATATATGGTTCTTTTGCTTTTTCACACTTTTAAAGTTGAAGTGGACTTTTGTTTTTGCTGTTGCCATTGCTGTTTTAGAAGAAAGTCTAAATTCCGACATTTGGAAATCAGACCTGCTATCAGAGGCCTGGAGTCCCACTGGGTCATTGGGAAGTTAGAGTTGGATAGAAGACACTTCTTTTAAACACACCACCCCGCTGCATGTGTTAGGATTTGTGACTTTAAAAGTTTAGTTCTTAGTCCAACTATACCAGATGCCAAGTTTGATTCTCAAGTTTGAGATTCCTCTCCTTTCTGTTTTCATCAAAGTCACTGTGGCATGTGAAGCCTGACCAAGGCTGATTTGACACCTTTGCCAAGTTTGATTCTCAAGTTTGAGATTCCTCTCCTTTCTGTTTTCATCTAAGTCACTGTGGCCTGTGAAGCCTGACCAAGGCTGATTTGACACCTTAAACAAGTAAAGTCAACTGCACACTTTCTCCTGGGAAGCAATTTAATCCCATTTGCAATGAAACTACTTTTATGGGGAACTCAAGGGTCCCCTTTTCAGGCTCATAGACTAAAAGATAAAAGTCTCTCAAAATAGTCTTAGACGGAAACTGAAAGACCATCATATTAGAATGTGAGATAAAAGCAGTGGGACAGTAAAGTTGTAAATTTCAACCACTGCCAAGACATTCAAAGAAGGAGAAAGCCATGGTTTTGAGTCCCAGTTATGTCCACAAACAACTTCAGGGGCTTGGAGGTATGTGTGGGAACCTACAGATGGGTAACTGTCAGTCATACATCTGGCCCACAGACATTGGGGGCGGAGAGCCTGAAATTTTTCTGCCTTTGAACCTGACCTAAATGTAAAGTGGAGGATGGGAAAAGTGGCCATTTGTGGGAACCACAACCATAGTGTTATCTTTTTTTTATTGTAGGAGAGAGGGCAGTCGTTACATTTTTATGGTTTTCTGCTTCCACTTGCGCACAATAATTGTAATATAGGCTTTCAAGCAGTGGGGCCTCCTTCCCAAGTCTATGGAACCTCAAATTAGACAAAGTTAAAGCCAGATACATATGCTGATTTGATCCCTTTGATTGTGAGTGCTGCCTGCCATGTACCTATGATCTATAAAATTTAAAGACATCAGAGGATAACCCTTCAAAATAGAGTATTTCCCCTCTGAGGAAGGGAAAGGTGTCCTTTCACTGACACTTATCAGTCTCCATTCCCACCTCACAGTCCTACAAATGATAAGTCTCATCTGGACACATTTCTATAGGTTATAAAGATGGACAAATGTTCTCCATCCAGCCTGATGTCACCTGACTCAACAGTGAGTCTCCAGATAATTTGATAAATGTACATGTTAATGTTACTATGTCTTAGGATGTTAAAAAATAGATAAAATAATAGGTCACCATCAAGTCAGAGAAACAAATGTTCAAAAGATGTAAAAATAAATATACTTTTAGTAAAGTGGGAACATTATGTTAAGACTTTATCTTAATTAAAATGGCTGGATTTTTTTTTAAGAATGGGAAAGATAAATAGAAAGCTAAAAAACTTAAGAGGTTCAAGAAACAGAAGCATAACAATTGCCTCTACTCAGGATAAAAATACCCTGGGAGACCTCTCCTAGTGGAGGATACCTTTAATCCCAGCACAGGGATAGAGGCAGGTGGATCTCTGTGAGGCCAGCATGGTCTACAGAGTGTGTTACAGCACAGCTAGAACAAGAGCTGCCTCAATAAAATAATAGTAAAAAAAATGATAGCAACAACAACCTATGAAGAGGTTTCTGGTGATATTACAGAAACCACGTGTTTGCAGACAGTAAAAATCAAGGGCTTCCTGGGGGATGACAGGAAGGCTCCAAATTTAATTGGACTTTCTTCTCAAGCTAAACACACAATGTTTCTACTCATGGATATGGGAAAGATATTATTTTAATCTCATCAGCATTTTTAAACAATGCCAGCTTCTGTAATCAACAGGACATGAATCAGCTAAAAACCTGCAAGTAAACTCTACAATTTTCCCTTTGTGCAACACTACAGTTAAAACTGGTAAATCAGGATGAACCATTATGCCAGGAAGTACTTGTTGGAATGAAACACCTCCCAAAGAAGGTCCTAAAACTCACATTATAGGTGGCTGATCTGTGAGTATGAGGATCTGTTAAAGAAAGAGTTTAGATTACAAGCCCCAGAATATAACCATCTTGTTTGCCATGGTCTTTCTGGTCTATACAGTGGCTTATTTAAAACGCATTATACCCAAAGAGGGATTCTGTCAACTTGTCATTATATTGTTTGCCTGAAGAATATTTGCATTTTAGCAAATTGTAATTTTATATATTTATTGGTTCAAGGCTCTAAAATCAATACCTAGCTTTCTGTTTAAGAATAGTAGAAAACCCACATTAAAAAATAAATAATATAACTTATTTTCATGAGGAAAATGATGCGAATAATAGCCTAAAGTGAGAAAGAATTTTAGCTACTATCTGCTGTTTCCATACAAATTTATTCTGGGTAACTATGAATATACATTTGATTTGAAACAACAAAGGGCTAACCTGAAGCAAAGTCCTATTGATGGTTTTCAGTGGTTTTCACAGAGGTCAGCTCAGTGCTTCAGTGACTTTATACTCAGGTCTGAGGAATCCAATAAAAGACAATGAGATCTCTTAAGGTGCTGTGAACTGAAATTCCCAGGAAGAAAGCCACCCCACACCTGCTAAAGCCTCAAAAGGTTGCCTGACTGTTTAGAACTACCTGATTGTGTAGGACTGTGGTGTTGTAGGTCCCAAGCCAGATTATCTTGGACTGACCACTTCCATGTCTTACCTAACATCCATCTTTGGAACCATTAGGGAAATCCTTTTATGATGGTCAGACGACTTAGCTTAAAGGTTAAAAATGTCATCAGCTAATATCTGAACCTATGTCCCCACCAAATATACATTTTAAAGATGCATTGATTTATGATTTCTTTTGTTCTGCTACTGCAAAAAAGAATTCATACAACTGTTACCAAGTTGGAACATGATACTAGGGGATGGCACGCTTCAGCATGTACATGTACACACACACACACACACACACACACACACACACACAACCTGCATATTTGGTTTCAGAATAAACTACCGTTTTCTCTTTGAGGTGAGAACTGTGGTTTTGTGTGAGTGACCAATTAGAAAGTGAACAGCTTTAAATTCATACCACGAGGGAAATGATGGAGGATTCTATACTCTCATATTTTAAAATAGGCCAGAAGTGGTCTTGAACCCCATCTTACTTATGTTGTGCTAAACTGTTTTATCTGTGGACTTAAAGGGGCCTTTTCCTTACAACAAAGGGCATGTTTTTTACTTAGAAAACGTACGCTTGGGGAAATGGTTATTTCTCCTCTAAGATTAGTTTTTTGGTATGGGTCGCAACACGTCGCCATAGGGTGCTGCCTTGTTAAGCACAGCAGCAGAGGGCCGGGAGCGAGGGGTGGGGCCAGTGACGGAAAAGGCGTGACCAGAGGCTGGAGGGGCGGGGGCTGTGACGACAACAGAGAGAAGCCAGTGAAAGGGAAGGAGGTGGGGATGTGGGCGGGCCTATGCCCGGCAGGCGAAGGCAGCTGGTGCTGGGAGGCGGGGCGGAGGGTCGCGGGCAGATGACGCGCAGGCGGACCCGCTACTTCCTGGATCCGCCGGCCGGTGCCGCTGCCGCACCCTGCGCCGGAGCCGGGAACCTGCGGCCGCCGCCATGTCCCACCAGACAGGCATCCAAGGTAACGGCGCCACGGGGCAGGGGCTCCCGGGAGGCGGCGGGCCCGAGCGCTGGAGGCGCGGACGGCTTTGGAGCGGCTCTGGGTGCGACGGCCCCGACCGTGTCCCTGGCGGCCCTTCCCGGCCGCCGCCACGTTAACAGGCAGTGGCTGCGGGAGAGCCGACAAGTGTGGATCGGTATTGGGGCCGCCCTGCCGCCTCCCGGGCCCCCGATCCTGGAGCAGGAAGACCCGAGGCTGGCCTGGCTCCGAGCGACTTTCCTCGGTACCCCCTGCCGAGGAGATTGTCCCAGCACTCATTTGAAAAACAAACAAATCCCACAGCTGTAGGCTGCCTCCCCTACTCCTGTTCTCTCTGAACGGGAGCGTGCTTTCCTCTCGGTGAAATCCAGAGGAAGTGTTTTTCCATCTTTGGATGCTCCCCAGGCAGCCGAAGTCTGGTCTGTGTGTCTGCAACTAATCACCCCGTGGAGACAGTTCAGTGTGCAATTAGTTGTATCCCTTAACCCTCCATTATTTCCTGGTTTGAAAACAGGCAACTTGGAAGTACTCGCCTCCTCAGGATCAAATAATATATCCCGGAGTTATTTAACGAATGCTAGCATAAACTAGAGCACTTCCTGTAATAGTCAACTGAGTCTTTCCCCTTAGGTGACCAGTTAATAACTTGTTTTGTGCTTCAGGGTTTTTGACACCTTTCTTCTATACACACCCAGGCAAAAATAGTTTCATGCCGAAAAACATTTGTCTTTTTTTCCGTGTAAGTTTTGACATTTAAATTTGTCAAAATTATTAAGTTTGATGTTTGAGCCTTTTATATAGCAAGACCTAAATAGTCGTCTTGCTGGGAATCAGCAACACAAGGACAAAATTGAGTACACAAGGGATAGGTTATTAAATGTTTATATGCTCAGTGACTACTATAGCCTTTTGAGAGATACAAAAAAATGTAAACACCGGAAGATCTAGTGCATTTTACACGCTTTTCTTTTAATCAGAATATGAGACTTGATCCTTTTGTTTTTGATGGACAGATAACAGGAAATGAAGGTGCTGTCACAAACTTAAAACTGGACTGTAAAAGCAACTTTCAAGGTTTTCAAACATGAAGTAATCTGTCCATTATTGGGTTTGACTAAAAGTATTCACAGTGTTACTTCTGCTATAGAATTCTGTAACCAAAATGTTGAGTTCATTTACTTTAAAAATGTTAGTATTTATTTTTTTAGTAATATTCAATGCCCAAACTCTGTGTGCCTTTTATAATAACAGTAAGAAAGTGCTATATACTCCACATTTTTCTTTGTTTTGTGTAAAGAGCAAAATAAAGTACTTTTAAGTTAAAAATGGGTTTATTTTTCTGTGTCATTTTCCACAGCAAGTGAAGATGTTAAAGAGATCTTTGCCAGAGCCAGAAACGGGAAATACAGGCTTCTGAAAATATCTATTGAAAATGGTTAGTTAACATTTTAAGATACTATGTGCCAGTTGAGTATTTGCTGTTACAGTTTCAGGTTTCCAAGTGTTATTAGTAATTTTAACTATCAATCAGCATGAAACAAGTTTAGATTTTTGCCTTTCAGCATGTTTTCCTTTTAAATTGTGTAGCTATTGAGGAAACTCCAGATGGTTTCTGCTGTGATAGCTTCATCTTTTGTGTATCCTTCTGCGTAATAATCCACTTCTAATATTAGTGCTTCCTCTTCCAGAATGGAAATCGGTAACTAGGAGCTACTTTAAAACAAACAAAACTAATTATTTGTGAGTTAATTCAGTAAAGTATGTTTTGATTTAAAAATATTTCAATGGGTTTTTTTTTATTTTGGTTTTTTTTTGGGGGGGGGGATCTGATTGGGCCCTAGAGTAAAGAGAGTATTGCTATTTCTTGTTTGGAAACATTCTAACAACAGGCTCCTTAACAGTAATTGTGTGATTGGGAAAACTGTGTGAGTGGCCATATCAGATCAGAATTGGATGAATTTGAAGTCACTCTTGATAGTTTTTTATCAAAATGAATGTGCTAAAATCATCCCCTTGGCCTTCTCAAATACCCTCGAGACTTTTGTTTTGGAAAAATAACTTGTCTTTCATGAACTGGAAATAAATCAACTTTAGTTTTCATTTTTCCACCTATTAAAAGTGAAAATAGTTTAGAAAAATCTTACAATATTCAATAGGAACGATTGTCTACTTCATTGAATGTCATTACTTCCTAAATGACTAGTTAGTAAACAAAATGGGAAGATGAAATGTACCTAATTAGCACTTCTTCAGATAGAAAATTTTTATTTCCTAAATATTTTCCAGTTTTTTTTTTAATCTTAGAAAAATGTCAAATTAGGAAATTTCAGAGAAGAAAAAAATAAATACCTACCTCTTAAATTAATGACTTGGTACTTTATAGTTTGCTCCAAGCCAAATTTAATTTTTTATATTTTTTAATTTTTTCTCCAAATTTAATTTTTTAAATGTTACTGTTTTTCTGATGTAAAACATCTTTTGACTGCTGCACTTCTTTTTTTTTTCCCACGGGGTAGCTGCAGTTTAAAGTTTTATATGTATATGAACTATTCCCTTTACCTAAATGCCTGCCTAGCATACAATGCAGTTTTGAGTTTTTAAGTTTACATAAACTGCATATTGTTTTATTCTTGTTCTTTATTTCTGGGATTTTTATAATTTGTTGTGGTAGTTTATGAATTATTTTAAAGCAGGAATAGAGTGTTTTCATTTGCCTGTGCCACATGATTGCACATTCTCTTACAGGGAAGATGTCACTGGTTTGCCCTGTTGTTGTGTAGTGTTACAGTGCACACCTGTCCATGTGCACAGGTGGTTCTGGATCTAACTCTGCAAGATAGCACTTCAAAAGTGACAAGTCCCAGTTGTAGCTTGTGCTTTTAGGCAACATGTTAAAACAACAGTGTTGTTGTCAAGTAGGAACTAAAGCTTGTTTCATAATTCTTTACAATTAAATATCAATTTCATGAATTATAGTTTTGAGTTAATAAAGTTTTATATATATAAATGTATAAATTTTTAGCATAAAAATTTTAACAAGTAGAAATCTAGCTGCCCTTTACTTGAACCTTTAACTTAGCTATTATCATTTATATGTTTATTCCTTATGTTATTTACATAAAATATTTTAACCATCCTTTTTCTAAGATCTTTATATTATTTGTTCTCAGTAGTGCCTCAGATCATAATTGTTTTGTATAGTTCCACCTTTTCAGTTTTTATGGGAAGATAGTAATAGGAAAATAGCTTGTTTTCTGTTTTGTTTTTGTCCTGTTATCACTTGATGCTGCAAACCATTTACCTGTTTAAATTTTTCCTTTCCTAGAGCAACTTGTGATTGGATCATGTAGTGAGCCTTCAGATTCCTGGGAACATGATTACGATGCCTTTGTTTTGCCGCTGCTGGAGGACAAGCAGCCGTGTTATGTATTATTCAGGTTAGACTCTCAGAACGCCCAGGGATATGAATGGATATTCATTGCATGGTCTCCAGACCATTCTCCTGTGAGTGATACTTTTTTATTTTTATTTTTTTATTAGCAGGAAAATTATTTTACATGTCAATCCCAGGTCCCTCTCCCTCCCCTGTGAGTAATTCTCTGTAGGGTTTTTTTCAAACATTAAAAGCTAGGGAGAATTTTTTTTTCCTAAAATATGTTCAGGCTAAAAGAAGGGTAAGAGGGAACAATAATTTCCCATAGAGGGATAATCCTGTCACAAAACAAAATAGAGAGTTGATAGTCAACTAAATAGAGTAAAAGATGGAATTAGGATGTACATACTGCCCAATATTGTGAAGAGTCTCAGATTTCTTATAAAAAGCTAATTTTTGATGCTACCTAGATACTATCAAAATATTATCCATTTTTAATTCTTCTGTCTGGAAGAAATAGCAAATTTCACTATTTAGAATTATGAAAATGTTTCTGTTAATCAGTAATTATCTATGAAAGTTCATCAAGCTTTTTAGTAATAAAATGTATGTTTGTTTATCCCACTGTTGTTCATCTACAAGTATTTGCCATCAGGAATACATGAATATTTGATGCTTAGTTAGTAATGTCTGGTTTAGTTTGAGTACAATATCACTGTGAGGATTATTTTAAATTGATCACCCCCCTAATATTTTGAAATAGTATTTTAGTAATTTTTTTAGTATAAGGTTACAAGTTTATTTTCTACTTTAGAAAAGTAACCTACATAATTTAAAATCTACCCTAATGGTCACTAATGGTTTAGACACCTGTGTTATAGTTGTTAGTGTCAGTAAGCATCAGCCTTATATTGGTTTAAGTACTTGGAAGTTTCAATGTATCATTGGCTTTCTTTTATAGTGGTAATCCCATTAACATGTAAAACTTTCACAATTGTATAGGTTCGTCAAAAAATGTTGTATGCAGCAACAAGAGCAACTCTGAAAAAAGAATTTGGAGGTGGCCACATTAAGGATGAAGTATTTGGAACAGTAAAGGTGCAAAACTTATGTTTATGTGTGTTTTATGAGTTTCAAATAAAACCCCCAAACCAAAACAGGAAACAAAACCAGTGAGCTAGGCATTGTTGCAGACACCATTAATTCTAGCACTTGGGAGGCAGAGCTCTGTGTTTGTTACCAGCCTGGTCTATGTAGTGAATCCAGGATAGCCAGGGCTACATTTGGAGACCTTGTCTCAAGCATAAGAAGAGTATTGTCATTTCTCATAATCCGCAAGGTCATGCTGATAAATTCACTTGTTGTATCTATTGATTGAGAATAATCACTAAGAATTGATACATTTATGACTATATTCACAAATTAAGGTGATTGGGATATACTTTTTTTTTTATTTTATTTTAAATTGGAATATACTTTGAACAGCTTGCTATGTTTCCATTTCAGAAACCAGGTGTTGGGTTGGCTTCCCAGCTTTCTCTCTCTCAGCCATCAAACCATCCTAGCTCCCTCACTTCCTGAGAGCGAAATGCTCATAAGCACACCTCTTTGAAGTACTTTTTTTCTTATATGAATAGTTCTGCAAGTACCATTTAAGTGATTTCAATATAGAACCTAGAATCAGAATAACACTGCTCAGAACAGCTATAGACCAGTTTTCTGCAGATGGTAAATTACAGATGTCCTGTAGGCTTGAGGCCTGATCATTCATTATTTGGCTGATCAACTTAGACAAAAGATTTAATGATTATAAACTTGAGGAAAAAGAGACACTTGTTATAAGTTTTGAAACCTTCAAAATAGAGGATTAAAGTAAGATGAGAGTAAAGTTCTTACTGCTCTATTTATCATTTAATTTTTTTCAGTTAATGATTTTGTTTTTCCTAAGGTAGCTGCACTTGGTTTGTGTTTCTGGAGAATAATAATTTATTTCTTTGCTTGCAGGAAGATGTATCATTACATGGATATAAAAAGTATCTGCTGTCCCAGTCTTCTCCTGCGCCACTGACTGCAGCAGAGGAAGAATTAAGACAGATTAAAATTAATGAGGTAAGTTACAACTTTAATGCTTCCAAGGTTTCAAGTGTGTCAAAATATCATGTGCTGAATGAACAGACATGGGAGTAACTGAAAATCAGATGTTGGGTCGGTTAGGTTTATTCTGTTTAGTTCAGAAACAGATCTGTGTGCTGAATTCGTTTTCAGAGAAAAGAAAAAGTAAAACATTCATATTAAACTAATGGCATTTCATAAAGGGCTACCCCCAAAATGTACATGTTAGAACAAAAACTTCCTGCTAGAAGCTCTCTGCCCTGAGTACTTTTTAAAGGGAGAAGTGTGTTACCCAGTGATTGCTCTGAGTTTTGTGTGTAATACAACTACATAAAATTCTTTAAAGAATATATTACTTCAAGGAAGAGTATTTGCTAAAAAGAGTAAAATTAAAATGCTGGAGAATGCTTAGTGTCTCTAAACAGGCTTTAATTTCTGTGACCTGGGAGATGTTGATGGAAGATGGAGTATTTGTTAAGCATATTGAAGCCAGTAAACTTGTAGCTATAATTTTAACATTTTTCTGCAGCTGTCTTAGTTGGCTTTTATAATTGTTTTCTTTCTACTGAAGGGTTACACAGAGAAGAACAAGTGTCCCAAACCACTGTTCGCTCTTCTTACCAGGCCAGAGTAATCTGGAAACAGCCCAGGACCTTTAATATGAAGTTGATGGCAAGGATCTAGCATATATTTTAAACGAAAGTTATTTGAGTGGGCTTTTTATGTGATTTCTTTTCCTAGAAGTTTGAAAGTTTGTTTTGTTCCTTACAATCAGAACCCAGAGGATCATATTGGGGTATGCACTTGCATATGTTCTATGATATTTTCATTATCCAGTATCATGCTGTGGAATCGCCATTCATTTTTTTCTTAAGTAGTTTGTATTTGACTTTCTGTTGCAGTACTGCAAATGAGACCGTATACTAGTTGTCATTTATTAACTAGAAAAATCGTAAACTTGTGCATTGAAAAGAGTTCTTCAAGTATCCTCCTCTCATCTCATACAAGCTGTTCAGTAAAGAAAGCCCCACATCTTGGATGCGTGCAGTTGTAGCTTATTGAGCTGTGTTTTGTCTGTGTCCTGTGTCCTCATTTCAGTTCAGTGCATGGCATTTGTGTCACATCTTATGTCCAGTAGAACAGAATAAAGTTCTATGCATACTGTATACATTTTACTATTCAGAACTTCTAACAAGAAAATTTTGCACTTAAAGAGGTAACTTGATTACACTGTGGAAGAGTTACTGTAGCTACTTGAACCTGCGCCAAACTGAGCTAAGGAAACTTCAAAGCCATAAAACTGCTCATTCAAGACTCCTTCCCAATATTTCATACAAGTGTGCCATGCACTCTACATGCCCATAGTGTGCTAGTAGGACTGTAAATTAGTGTGAGCAATCATTTACCTTCTAAGTTTAAAATGTTTTAGGAATTTGAATTATAGTTTGGGGAAGGGTAAGTGAGACTTACTGGTTTTTTGTTTTGTTTTGTTTTGTTTAAAGTGGAGTTTTCTTTTTGCCCTCAGACACTGCTAACCAGTAAAGCTTTAGCTGTCAATTCTATCTGTGTCTTAGGTACAGACTGACGTGGGTGTGGACACAAAGCATCAGACACTACAAGGAGTGGCATTTCCTATTTCTCGAGACGCTTTCCAGGCTTTGGAAAAACTGAGCAACAAAGAGCTCAACTACGTGCAGTTGGTAAGAGGCATACGATGGCTGTAAAGTGACTGCTTGTTTTGGTAGCGTATGGATTGTATAACTCCCATTTTTAATGAACTTGACATTTATTCTTGTTTTTTTCTTTTTTTCTTTTGAGGCAGGATCTTCGTTTTTTTTTTGTTTTGTTTTTTGTTTTTTTTGTTTTTTTTAATCTCCAAGTACTATAAATATATGAAAAAGTCAGATAGTCCACAACTGTGCCTCATCCTTGTCTTTTAAGCTGACTTCTATTTACTTGTTTAATAAATGTTTCTTTTTTCGTAGGAAATAGATATAAAAAATGAAATAATCATTTTGGCCAACACAACAAACACAGAACTAAAAGATTTGCCAAAGAGAATTCCCAAGGATTCAGCACGCTACCACTTCTTTCTGTATAAGCATTCTCATGAAGGAGACTACTTAGAGTCCATAGGTATGTGACACGTTTCTTCAGCATGGAACCCTCAGTTTGCTTAGCTAGCATGTCTCAGCACCATATTCTTATGCAATTCTTTCCAGGGGCCTTAGTTGAAGCTTTAGGAGGATTATAGACTTGCTTTCATTCATTTTTCTAATCATTGTTATTTTGCCTTGCAGTTTTTATTTATTCGATGCCTGGATACACATGCAGCATAAGAGAGCGCATGCTGTATTCCAGCTGCAAGAGCCCTCTGCTAGAAATTGTAGAAAGACAACTACAAATGGAGGTGATCAGAAAGGTAGACTTTACTATTTCAGAATGCTAATGTTTGACTAGATTTCCTTGTCATTTCCATTTAGTACAGTGCGGTACCTTTCCAGGTACTGTGGTTTATAAATGAAAATATTTAATCTTGTTGTTCTCACCCTAAATCCTTAGAACCTACTGAGTGCCTGGGGGTGATCTGTAATGATCCACACCTTTGTAGGTCTGTGCTGTCTGTCTAGTATGGTAGCTATAGGTCATGTGTGGCTATTTCTGTATAAACTTTAATGAAATGTAAAATTCAGTTTCTTAATAACACTGATAATTGTAAACGCTCATTGGCCATTTGTAGCTTTAGGAGTACAACATACTCAGAACATTTCTGTCAGTTTTGCAAACTGAGGTGCTGCTACTACCAGATCTCAATATATGTTCTTAAATGCAGGTAGGGCATAAGGAGAGACTTAGAAATTGCCGGTGATGGGGTGCTGAGCTTCAAGCAACTCTAGATTCTGTGGGTCACTTGCTTTGTGCTAGGACCTTTCATCGTTGGCTGACACTGCAGGAGATCAGACAGTAAATAGTCTAAGCTGTGCCAGGCCACGTGGGTCTCCTTTACATTTTTTTTTTTTTTAAGTCCCGTAAAGTATGAAGTGTCTTAAGTTGGGTGGGAGATTTGGTCTGTAGGCCATCATCTACCTGTTGTAGAGTGATTCCAAGTGTCCCAAGAATGAAAAGAACCCTTGTTTGAGTGGAGCAAGCAGAGCAGCTGGAGGACTCAGTGTTCACCCCTGCTTGTAAATGTGACTTGAGTGGAGCAGCGAGAGGCAGTAAACTAGAAGGGAACTGTGGCGGACTGTTTAAATGACTGCCCTAGTATCTTGCTGAAAAGGATGGAAGGGAAACTTCATGGGCAGTCTGATTTCTGTTTTGTGGAAGGTGTATGGCACACTCAGTGTGTAGGTACTCATACCTGGGTGCTGGCTCATTGTCTTTGTTAGGTTTTGAGTGTTCCCTGTTTTATGTGGTTTCTTACTATTGATTTCCTCTTTTGCAGATTGAGATAGACAATGGGGATGAACTGACTGCCGATTTCCTTTATGACGAAGTACATCCCAAGCAACATGCCCATAAGCAGAGTTTTGCTAAACCAAAAGGTCCTGCAGGAAAGAGGGGGATTCGGAGACTGATTAGGGGTCCAGCGGAAGCAGAAGCCACTACTGATTAAAAGTGTTTTATGAAATGTTGCAATATAGTTTTGTAAAATTCCAGCTTTTAGTACAAGGAGAACTGAAATCATTCCATGTTGATATAGTTGGGAGGAAAATTGTACTTTTTGAAAAATAGCACTTTCCACTTCTATGTATTTTTTAAATTAATGCTATAGAAGACTCCTGATTTCTATTTTTTAGTTAAAGCTAGACAAGATTTCAACATAATCATGTTTGGTTTTGTCTCACTGTTTTCATAGCGTGTTGATTCCACACTTTTCACATAATCTTCAATATTTTACATAGGTCAGCCAGTTCCAGAACGCCTGAGACTTGCTCTAGTACTCTGCAGTGAGGTCTGAGTTTCCCTGAGATTCTCACTTGAGAAGTATGTTTAGGAGCCTGGGAAAGGTGGGAAGCCGCATGCTCTGAGAGCTGTGCTTACACTGGGATTGTCTGCAGCGCTGGGGTACAGCGCTTCATTGCAGCAGTGCTTTCTATTTGACCTTTTGTTTTTAATAGAGTTAAAATGTCAGAAAATCGGTTTATTCTGAAACTTTAAAGGTACCAGCTGTTGCAGGGTTTCTGATGGCACTGGAAGACTACACAGTCTTGTAAGGTCTTTGCAGAGCTTTCAAAATGTCTGTTTCCAAAGTAACCCCTTCATCGTAAGTACTGTGAAGCCAGATGTCCATGTTCAGATGGAAATTCAAGTATCATTGAAAAGGAAACAAAGCTAAAGTGAAAACTGTTAGAAGTTTTTAAGTTTTTTTTTTTTCCCCTTCGAAACCAGGTGTCTTAAAGCAAATTGTCTTATCACTAAGGAGCAAGTGCTCAGATCTAAAATGATCAATTCTTAGTGCTTAGCAGTGCTTAGCAGGCTAACACAGATGACTTCTCTCAAAACATGTGTTTTCTGAAGCTTTGTATTTTCATTTACAACCTAGAAATTTTGAGCCTCAGTTTTTTGATACTTGAAATAGAGGGAGATAGAACACTTCATATTTTAATCTGCTAACCCTGCTGCAGAGCCATAACTTGGAGGAGTTTTGAAATGGACTATGGTATTCAGGATTTGGAAGTCCTTTACCTGAACTTCATGCTGCGTAAGATAAATATCAGTAATACACATTTCATGGTATGAAATATGAAGCCCTCTTGTTGCAAAGCATTATTACTGAAGGTAATACATGCGCCTTTCAGAAATTCAGTTGTGTTCACATAGACCATATGAGAGGAGTTACGGGCTCATGGGATTTTTAAAAATAGATTTGAGTATTTGTGTGTTTTGTTTGTTTACAAACACTTAGACTTTACTATTTAAATATGCAGAACTTTTGGCAGTAATGTTGCACTTGTTTACTAGAGGTAAACTTTTAGTTTTACGTGTGCACACGTAGTCACATGTGCCCACAGATTGCTGCTGTGAGAGTCCTTGAGCCTTGTTGCAGACCATCGCCAAAAGCTGCCATTTTCCAGCAGAGGGAGTACTTACTGCCGGTCATGAAGATCTGAAACTGGTGGTGACTTTCTGAAGCACCGGTGTGCAGTTATGCTCTGAATTTTATCACACTACATCCAAGTAAATGCACATTCCAGAATATAGATGTGATCATGTAACCTTACTAATAATTAAACCAATGATTGCTGAGAATCACTTATGCATTTGTTTTAAGGTATAACTCATTGTTTACAGTATGTTTTAGGTGACAATAGATGTGAATAACATTCCCAATAAATTTATATAGCAGTGAAAAATTACATGTCTTCTGTGGACATTTTATAAGTGCATTTTATATCAATAAAATTTTTTCTCTTTGAGTTGTCTATGTTGGTTTTATAGTACATTTTAAATGTCTGGATAATTTTGCACAATCCAGTACCTGGTGATTTTTGTGGGTTCGTTTCATTAGCCTGCTTAAATTCAAGGGAGATGTTAAGTAGTTGGGAACATAGGCAAGAACAGAGTGCCTAACATAAATTAAAATCACCCTATAGAAATGTAGCAGTAATGAAAACGCATGTAGTTGCTGAGTTCCCTCCATGATAAAGGCACCACATTGAGGGGGTAATGCATGCCCGAACTTCCAGCATGCTCCAGAACAGCTTGAGCTACATAGACCCTGTTTCAAAACCCTTCCAGGACAATAGGTGTCCATTGTGCATGGTGCAGTTAATAAAGAACTGCTTATTTCCCAATTTTAGAGGCTGGGAAGTTCAAGATGAAGGTGCCAGCGGTGCTTTTCACGTGAAAATGACTGGTGCATTCTTACTCTAGGCATTTCAGTATGAAATCCCTTTTCATTGGACATGTTACACAACAGATGTTTTTGATAACGGTTCTCAAAAAAAAAAAAAAACATTTTAAAGAGCCGATTTAGAAACAGGCCAGTGAGATGGATGAGCAGGTAAAGGCACTTTCTACCAATCCCAACAAGACTGATTTTTCCAGGACCCACAATGGAAAGAGAATTAACTCCAAGTGGTCCCGACCTGTGTTTGTGCACTGCAGGGTGCATTCACACACACTAAATGGAACAGTCCTGCAAAGAATTGTTTATTTGGAGAACTAAGATACCTTTACCCACCATGCATTGTGTCTGTACTCATTTCCTTTGCATATATAAATGGAACAGTCCTGCAAAGAATTGTTTATTTGGAGAACTAAGATACCTTTGCCCACCATGCATTGTGAGTGTCTGTACTCATTTCCTTTGCATATATAATGTAAGGGTGGTGGGTTCATTTTCTGTCCTGGACACCTATTCATAGCTTCTGTTGTAATGAATGGGCCTAACAATCAAATAGCTCCACATGTCACTGACAGCTGGGAGCAATTTACCTTAAGTGATATTGTGGCTACTCTCAGTTCAAAAAGCTATGTGGTGGTATATAGTGGTTATGTGTCAGGAGCCAGCCTTGGTTAGATCCAAAGTCCTTATTTACACAAGCCTGGCAACCCCCCATGCTCAGCTAGTCCCCAGCTAATCTAGCATCCCACCCCTTAGGTTCTGGGACCTGACCTGAGAAGCGATTAACACCTATTCCTCCCTCCACTTCCTTAGGTTAGTGCTTGAGATAAACACAGGACATTCCCCCATGCTCAGCTAGTCCCCAGCTAATCTAGCATCCCACCCCTTAGGTTCCGGGACCTGACCTGAGAAGCAATTAACACCTATTCCTCCCTCCACTTCCTTAGGTTAGTGCTTAAGATAAACACAGGACATTCTGGACACCTGTCCTGGCCTGAGAGCAATTAACATTCATTCCTCCCCCCCACCTCCTCTTTCTCTGCTTCCTTTTTTCTTTAAAAGCCCCTTGGTTTCAATAAAGTTCAGACCTTGACAAAGAAAAACCCTGCTTGGTCTCGCTCCTTCTTTCTCACCCATTATTTTCAGGCTTGATCCACCTCCGACTCACGAAGGGTCCAGAGCCCCGAGGGTCAGGGCAGTTACGGTAGTGTCGTGATCTCAACAAGTGAGTCTCAGCTGTTGTCTGCTAGCTTCCGCATGATGTGGCTCAAGACTTGTACTTCCCTTTGTCATTTCACTCTGCCTCATTGGCTGCTTCCAGTTGTCCACAAACTATGAATTAAGCACAAAGGAGATGTATTCGTCCCAGAGGGACAGAGAGTAGGGAATAAGAGACAAAGACATGAGGTAGATGATGAGGAAGACATGGAAAGGAACAAGGGAGAAAGGAAAAGGATATTTTCCCCTGAGGGATAAAGGACTGCTTCTGTATAGAGAGGAGACAGATGTGACCCATAGGCAAATGGCATTTTATAATGGGAAAAAGAGAAAGCCCATGTTAGGAATTAATTGGTTAATTTTGATGGATATGTTAACTGGGTGAGCCAAAAGGGGGCTTTTGATTGCTTTACTTCAAGGCTTTGATAGCTGGACATTGGTAGCTAGCCTCAGGATGAAGTGGCCAAATAAGGGAATAGACCTTGGTGGCTAGCTTTAGAAATGGAATCTAACAGTTTAGCAAGGCAGAGGGAATGGGAGAAGGGCAAGGCCTACCAGAGCCATCTTTGCCATGCTTTGGCCTACGGGATCTCCTCAACTGGCATCCATGCTTTGGTCAGTCAGGGTCTTCCCATCTGGGGTGTGTGTAGCTTCTCCCCAGGAAAAGTCTATCCCACAACATTACTCCATAACAAATGTATACATCCCTCCTTGTGACTGCAGTATAACACACAGGAGCGGCATCTGAATAAGACAGTTGGTGACAATTCTCTCTCGGCATGGAAGAATCTTGCAGTGAACTCCAGCTTAATTTCACTGTATCCAGTGAGCAGAATGTGTGGTGTCATCTGCAACAGGGTCTTAAACATCTAGTTCTGGTGGACAGATAACAGCAGTGACAATTTCTGAGTGGTTTAAGGTCCTCAGAGCCCATAGTCCAAAAACCTATAGAAAGGTAGCTGAACTCTGGCAGTGGAATTTCCATTTGACTTTATGGCTCCCAAAAGTAGCTTTATCCAACCATACAAGTTACCACTATTCAAACTCACATTTTTATTTTAATTAGACTACCAAGTATTGGATTTACTTATGGTATTTTCATACAATCTAGTTTTGATTGACCCTTCTCTCCACCTCCTACCCCATCTCTCTGCCCCCATCCTACTTAAATCCCTCCACTTTCCTTTCATCATGTGTACATGTATATGGGAATGTGTGGGTATATAAGTGCAGAGCCTGTGAAGGTCTGAAGAGAGTGTCAGCTCCCTTGGAGCTGAAGTTACAGGTGCTTGTGAGTTGACCAACATGGGTGCTGGGAACCAAACTCAGGAACTCTGCAAGAGCAATGCACATCCTTTACTGCCGAGCCATCTCTCCAGTCATCTCCCCTTAACTTAAATATCACATGTGCTTACTCCCCTCCCCAACCTGAAATTTCACATTCACTGTCCTCTTGTAGACTCCTGAGTAGTTTACTGGGTTCTATTCACACACCAAAATAAATTCAAGCATAGCAAAATTAGAAATTAGGACACATCTAGAAGAGAAAATGTTGAATATTTTTCTGAGCCAAAACTATCTCAAAATACTTGCCACTCATAGCCATTTTCCGACAGATTTCATTTTTTGTGGTGTCTGAACAAAATGCCATGTTTTCATTATCCATTCATCTGTGGATGGCATCTAGTTTCATTACATTTCTTTGCTATTGTGAATGAGGAGTTTCAGAACAATGAAGATGAAAGTAGAGATCCCATATACTCTCCCTTAAGTTTCTTCTTTTTAAATCATATTTTAGATAAAACAACAACAAAATGATTTAAAGCTGTGTCTTTAGGTTCTCACATAAAGCTGATTGTACATGAGAAAGCCAAGGCCAAATAAGGTTGGTTACTTTGTTCTCTTAAAGGAAGTTTAAACTGTAACTGAGCACATAGTAGGACAAGAGGCTAAGCACATAGACTTAAATGATTTCAAGGCATATTACAAACTTGACTGCAAGGTCTGGATTTTCAGAAAAAAAAAATACACACACCAGTGCCTGCTGAGCCCAGGGTCATAGCATAGTCCATGGGCTGGAGTTACAGGCAGTTGTGAGTCACCTGACATTGATGCTGCAAAACAAACAGAGCAGTGCAATTTCTTAACCTCTTGAGTCAACTCTCCAGCCATAAATTGTTATTTTTTAAAGAGGAGGAATTACCATCTTGAGACATAGTTTTTCCACGATAATAGTGGTAACAGGAGAAATGCTCATTCGCAGTCTAGGACAAATATTCTGTAAGATATCTTCCCCAGTTTTATCAAAGGGATGAAAATTTACTTTGGAGATCCATAGCTGTTGTCTGTTTCTGAGACTAATTTGAATGAGTAAAAACCATTCTCATAGTTGAAGTGTTCAAACTTAAAATGGACAGCTGAGATTAACACCCCTGCTGCAGGGCAGCCTGAGATGAGTCACTGAAGAACTCCTATACTGGGAACACAGGTAAAAATCAGAATACAGTTTCCTAGTCATAAAAGAGATTTGGTAAATGAAATAGACTATTTCCATTAGTCTTACTATTTGTGATTTGCTTTCTAAAAGGCAAGACCAGTCGAGAAACAGGAAAAGAAAAAGCTGCTATATGAGGAGAGCTAGTACAAGGTAAACAGGTGTGGTGTGGTGCTGTTCTTGGGGAGATGTGAACAAACAGTCACTCATTCCAGATAGGCATCTGACAACAGACCAAAGTCAAATATCATCCAAGTCCAGCTTGGTGAACCGATGAGTTTTATTGGGGCTACAAACAGGGATATGGGTTACCTATAGGAACAAGAATTACTCCAAAGACAGCTTTATCACCAAAGCCCACCCCAGCATGGGGAGAGCTGAGGAAAGCTGGGAACCTGGAGTGTACTGCACAGCCTTCATGTGGCTCAAGTGGTTGGCGGGTGTCTTTTCCGGGTAGCTCCAGGCAGCTCCACTGGTTTCCCTTTCTCCTTGCAGCCTGGCTAGGCTGAGCCTCTTCTGGGGATCTCAGCTTGCTCTCAGTTGGAGAGTCTCTAATGTGAGCCAGGCTCCACAATCAAATGAAGGCTGAGGTACTCCTCCAGCCTCTTTCAGATGGCAGAATCCAGTTCCCCATGGATGTACAGCTGCATTCTCATTTACTTCCAGTTACAGCTGGAGGGTAACATCCATCCTCCCGAGGCCACCTTTGGACTTTTAACAATGTTGTCCTCTCACAACAGTGTACCCCTACACAGCCCACAGGAAAGTATCTCTGGCCTATTGTCCTGGGTCTCCTG